CGTTGACATTCCTGCTTAATGAATTGCAACAAAATTCCTGCTAGCATTCCAATTGCAGCCAGCTACAGTGAGGCAGAATGGGGAGGACCACATCGTCCTCACTGGCTCTGAAACACATTCACTTCTAACATACTTTTATCACATGAAAACTAAAGTGCCTCCTGCCTTCTCACTAACAATTATTGACCCAAGAACACGGTGGAGTTAAGAAGGTGTGTGTCACTTTGCCATGGATTCCACAGTGGTGAGGCTCAGAGTCAGCACTTCTGCAGTCTGGTAATAAACAGCAAGTCTGTTCCACATCTAGGTCTACAGAAAACAGAAAAGGATGGATGTTTGGAAAAATCTTACTAGCTGATAGCTGATTTCTTAGTTGTGTGTGTGTGTGTGTGTGTGTGTGTGTGTGTGTGTGGTTAAAAAAAAACACAATATAAATTTACCATCTTAACCAGTTTTAAGTGTACAGTTCAGTAGTGTTGAGTATATTCACATTGGTGTGCCGCAGATCTCCAGAAATTTTCATCTTGCAAAACTGAAGCTCTGGGGGCTTCCCTGGTGGCGCAGTGGCTGAGAATCCGCCTGCTAATGCAGGGGACACGGGTTCGAGCCCTGGTCTGGGAGGATCCCACATGCCACGGAGCAACTAGGCCCGTGAGCCACAACTACTGAGCCTGCGCGTCTGGAGCCTGTGCTCCGTAACAAGAGAGGCCCGCGACAGTGAGAGGCCCGCGCATCGCGATGAAGAGTGGCCCCCGCTCGCCACAACTAGAGAAAGCCCTTGCACAGAGAAAGCCCTCGCACAGAAACGAAGACCCAACACAGCAAAAATAAATAAATAAAAATTATTTAAAAAAAAAAAAAAAAAAAACTGAAGCTCTGTACAACTCCTTTCTCCCCTCCCCCCAGCCCCTGGCAGCCATCATCCTACTTTCTGGCTCTCTGAGTGTGATTACTTTAGAGACCTGAAAATGTGGCTGTTTTCTTTCCCTGGGTGAGAAGAGTACCCAGCTAGAACCTCTGATGGCGCTGAGCTCTCAGCTGCGGAAACGGCATATATGCAGACTCATTTCAACGGGCCAGGTGTCCTGGGAGTCCAGGCCATTTCACTGGGCTCTGTTGTTCTCACTCATCCTTGCTTCTGCTCTTACTCCAACTTAGATGACGCCAGAGGAAGGCATCAAAAGAAGATCTGGAGCAAGACTCAGAACTACCTCAACCTGTACGCGGTGGAGGGCCTGCGCACCTTGTGCATTGCCAAGAGGGTGAGTAGGCGTGGCTTCGCGGAAGGGGCGGGGCCGGCCACGGGGCTTGGCCTGGGTGCTCATCAGCGGGTCTCACCCAGGTTCTGAGTAAGGAAGAGTATGCCTGTTGGCTGCAGAGCCACTTGGAAGCGGAATCCGCCCTGGACAACCGCGAGGAGCTCCTGTTTCAGTCTGCCATTCGCCTGGAGAGGAATCTGCATCTGTTAGGTAATTACGCTCTCCAGTGGGTGGGTGCCGCGGAGCCGGGTGGAGTTTTGCAACATCCTGCATGGAGAGGTGCCCTGGCTCTAGTCAGTGGCAGCTCTGCACACTCTAGGCTTGATGAAGGACCCCTCTGGCCTGACGCTAGTGCAGCCCCCAGGCAGGGCTGTGCTCGATTGAACGTTCTCCCTGTGGCCCATTTCTGGGGCATTCTATTGGTGCCACCCTACCAGGCAGGCACCACGACAACGCCCGACTTGCCTCCCCTGAAACCCTGCTTTCCCACCAAAAATAGAGATGAGGAGCAAGGCTTCTCAGCAACTGATGCGTTAAAGGATCCCCCGAGCCCCAGGAAACAAACAGAAACCGTTGGACTCGACAGGGCTGCATTTTACATCTAGTAAATATTTCACAGATTTGATTTGGGTGAAAAAAAAAGGGGGCTCATTCTTACTAAATTGTGCCTGTATTTGCTACTGAGTTCATGTTAGTATTTATAAAAGTATTTATTGCTTTAGTATTTATTTAATTTATTATTTAAAATATTTATTAATATATGTATTAAATTAGCTGGATCTTTGTATACATGCTCTCTGTGCTCTCACCAGGAGCTGGTTGTGGCAGTGCTGCGTATACACACTCCCCATCTCATGGTGCTGGTGGTCAGATGATGATACTCCTGGGGCATGAAGATACAGGGGTTCATCTTTCAACAAGAAAGGCCGTAATTCATTTGGGCCCCTTCCTAGGCAAAGGCGTTGGGATATCTCTGTATCTACATACTTATATCTAATAGAATAGCTAATATTCATATATTTAAGAGCACTACATATACATACTTTATGCAATATTCTATTTCGCCTATGGTGTCCTATATGAGGCCATGCACTATTCAAAAAAGCCCAAAGATCCAGAGCCCCAGAGGCATCCTGAACGGTATTCAGGAGGTGAATTTAATGAAACACTTGGAAAAAGGCTGTGCCTCCTCTAGATTGCCAGGTTTTGATTTCCTGAACTAGGACTGTTCACATCCGGAACATGCTTCTCCAAAAGACACTGTTGATAGACCCGTGGGTTGGGAGGGGCTCCGTTGGTTGTCATGCCCGCCCCCCCCCCC